TGTTCCCTGTTGTGGTAGCCTATTTTCTATGTTCTCTGTTGTGGTAGCCTAGTCTCTATGTTCTCTGTTGTGGTAGCCTAGTCTCTATGTTCCCTGTTGTGGTAGCCTAGTCTCTATGTTCTCTGTTGTGGTAGCCTAGTCTCTATGTTCCCTGTTGTGGTAGCCTAGTCTCTATGTTCTCTGTTGTGGTAGCCTATTTTCTATGTTCTCTGTTGTGGTAGCCTATTTTCTATGTTCTCTGTTGTGGTAGCCTAGTCTCTATGTTCCCTGTTGTGGTAGCCTATTTTCTATGTTCTCTGTTGTGGTAGCCTAGTCTCTATGTTCTCTGTTGTGGTAGCCTAGTCTCTATGTTCCCTGTTGTGGTAGCCTAGTCTCTATGTTCTCTGTTGTGGTAGCCTATTTTCTATGTTCTCTGTTGTGGTAGCCTATTTTCTATGTTCTCTGTTGTGGTAGCCTAGTCTCTATGTTCTCTGTTGTGGTAGCCTATTTTCTATGTTCTCTGTTGTGGTAGCCTAGTCTCTATGTTCTCTGTTGTGGTAGCCTAGTCTCTATGTTCCCTGTTGTGGTAGCCTAGTCTCTATGTTCTCTGTTGTGGTAGCCTAGTCTCTATGTTCCCTGTTGTGGTAGCCTAGTCTCTATGTTCTCTGTTGTGGTAGCCTAGTCTCTATGTTCTCTGTTGTGGTAGCCTATTTTCTATGTTCTCTGTTGTGGTAGCCTAGTCTCTATGTTCCCTGTTGTGGTAGCCTATTTTCTATGTTCTCTGTTGTGGTAGCCTAGTCTCTATGTTCTCTGTTGTGGTAGCCTAGTCTCTATGTTCCCTGTTGTGGTAGCCTATTTTCTATGTTCTCTGTTGTGGTAGCCTAGTCTCTATGTTCTCTGTTGTGGTAGCCTAGTCTCTATGTTCCCTGTTGTGGTAGCCTAGTCTCTATGTTCTCTGTTGTGGTAGCCTAGTCTCTATGTTCCCTGTTGTGGTAGCCTAGTCTCTATGTTCTCTGTTGTGGTAGCCTATTTTCTATGTTCTCTGTTGTGGTAGCCTATTTTCTATGTTCTCTGTTGTGGTAGCCTAGTCTCTATGTTCCCTGTTGTGGTAGCCTATTTTCTATGTTCTCTGTTGTGGTAGCCTAGTCTCTATGTTCTCTGTTGTGGTAGCCTAGTCTCTATGTTCCCTGTTGTGGTAGCATAGTCTCTATGTTCTCTGTTGTGGTAGCCTAGTCTCTATGTTCCCTGTTGTGGTAGCCTAGTCTCTATGTTCTCTGTTGTGGTAGCCTAGTCTCTATGTTCCCTGTTGTGGTAGCCTATTTTCTATGTTCTCTGTTGTGGTAGCCTAGTCTCTATGTTCTCTGTTGTGGTAGCCTAGTCTCTATGTTCCCTGTTGTGGTAGCCTATTTTCTATGTTCTCTGTTGTGGTAGCCTAGTCTCTATGTTCTCTGTTGTGGTAGCCTAGTCTCTATGTTCCCAGTTGTGGTAGCCTATTTTCTATGTTCTCTGTTGTGGTAACCTAGTCTCTATGTTCTCTGTTGTGGTAGCCTAGTCTCTATGTTCCCTGTTGTGGTAGCCTAGTCTCTATGTTCTCTGTTGTGGTAGCCTAGTCTCTATGTTCCCTGTTGTGGTAGCCTAGTCTCTATGTTCTCTGTTGTGGTAGCCTAGTCTCTATGTTCCCTGTTGTGGTAGCCTAGTCTCTATGTTCCCTGTTGTGGTAGCCTAGTCTCTATTTTCTCTGTTGTGGCAGTCTATGTGGTTAATGTTCTTTTTTTTAATTTTGGCTTACATTAGCCCCACCATTTATATACACTGATATCGTGAGATGGGTTTAAAAGCCAACAAACACAAAATACGGGGACTACTGTTATTCTGTTAACTGTGATTTTAGTTAGAGGTCGTGTAATCAAAGCTTACCCTAATCAAGTGTGGTGTCGGTCAAACAGCAAATATAACTGTGTCAGAACTAAACATAGATCCAGCTCGAATCACCTCCACTTCCAGTAAAAGACATAAGCCGAGACCATTTCCCCCGATCAATTACCCTTTTGTTGTAAACCCCTACCCTTCCATGGCAACTAACCCCTCTCAAGCGTACCTATTATAATTATTGTTTTTAAATGCACTGAATGGAATGGGCCGACAGAGCAGGCATCAAATCGTATTTGTCTATAGAATGCCAAGCAGGGGAACCGGTATCCATAACCCGAATCCTAGCACTAAACTTAACAGAAACTTAACCTTACGGTTAGGTTTAGTGTAAGGATAAAGTTTAAGGTCAATTGGTAATCGACGGGGAAACGAAGGGAGGTAGAGCCTTACTCCATTTTAGGGCGGAGGTGGGGGTAACGGGAATCGACCTGAGCTGAAGGTGGGTTAATACCCTTCCAGGTCTCTTATACAGGCAGAAAGACAGACCGAAAGATAGATTTCCTATAACTTTTTCAACTAAAAACAAAGATTTCTAAAAATAGTTCTATAACAATTCAAGAATAACAAAGCTCTATCAAAGCGTGTATTCATCAACTGCTATCGGCCTCCTACTGTAAACTAATCAAGAAGAATAACTCGGTATTATTAATTATGGCAGTGTCAGGGGTGCTGATGAAAAAGCGCAGCTGAGTGCAAATCGCTTTTTCATTTGCGGCAGTGCGGGTGCTTCACTAGCCTTAAAATAAAATCATTTGCGTTAGCAGTTATTTGTATTAATATCATTTTGATTAATAAAATTACGATAATTTCTGCTTTCTCTTAAAAAGCAGCTTAAAGATCATGTTCAGAATCGACACTTCAAAATCAGCTAACAATAGCCATAGCTGAAGAATCGATAGTTCAAGATCAGCAACTATAATCGGAAGAATCGGTACTAGACTATCAGCTTGCAATAAATGCCCGACAATCGGCTAGCAATGTCTGAAAAATCAATACTGGACAATCAGCTAACACAATGTCTGAAGAATCGGTGCTCTACAGTGAGCTTTACCGCTCAATTCTTATCACGTCGATAACGATACTTCAGCCAGGTTAGCGCTAGGTTTAAAATTAAGCCGTCCTTATCGGTCATTTGGTATGCTGAGGTAAACGTATTAAAGAATTGATAACAAAACTATTTTAAAGGCATGGACGGGTGATTAGAAATGGCGTAGATTCGATCCAGCACGTGTATGTAGTGAGATGAAACCTATAAATGCACTGTGACATAAAATGTGGCTTCATTAGATATTTAATTAACATTTTAAAAATTAATCAATGTTTCCTCTAAAAAGTACTAATTTTCAGCAAATATTGTTTGCGTTCATTTGGCGCGGAATTATTTTATTACGCGACTCTTTTCTCTTTATAATATTTAATACACGAGAAAGTTGGGGTAGATATCCGCTATATTGTATTCATTACTTCATAACAATAAGCAAGATACGGTTATAATGGAGTCACTCGAACTTCGCCACAAAGATTGTCCCCAGATTGGTGTAATGACGAGCCCTAGATATTGATGACAAATAATAACTGAATTCCCCAAAACACACAGCGCTTATCTAACAGCCAGTAAAGCTTATTTAGGTAAAGCATTAATAGGCCTACAAGCATTTCATTAGCGCAGAGTAAATCTTGTTTATAATGTACACACAAGACTTAATTCGTTGATAAAAGCCGATCCAGTCAAGCTACGATAAGCCAGGCTATGTGCGGGTCTGTTGTAACAATAGACAGTGTCCTGTCTGGGTTCCCCACTAATGGCTGACATGTCACCGGCATGATGAAAATTGATAAGGTGAAAATATACAGCAAGCCTATGCTGGGCATGGGGGGATCACGCCACGGTAGACTACTGGTTACTTTAGGAACCCTGCGCAATAAAACACGTCGTTAGGGGTTGGGGTTCGTTTGTAGTTTTATAATATTTTTTAAATGGGGTAGAGGTGTGATATAGAGCTATGTGAAATTATACATTGCCTTTGATTTTCTTTATTCGTTGTTCCTAATTGTTTCCTTGGTTTTTTTTTTGTTTGTTTTTTTTTGGTTTTTTAATTTGTTAGAATGTCTGCAATTTAAAACTGTTGAAGTATCTAACAATGAGTATCGTTTTATTGAGTAACTGTAGATAGTATAGAGAATACTTCTCTATTAGAACTACCATCTTGTTCTTTAAAAGTCATTTACATACAACCTAAATATTTTCAGAAGAATCAACTTATTTAGGAAAATAGAAAACCACCATCTGGCGCAAGCTTTATTTACAACTGATAAATGTTGAATACTAGATAATGCTAAAACATTTTGTCAAAGTAAGATGTAAGATTAACATGTTTTGTCCTTTTACTTTTTTAATGTTATCACATCAATCATACATGCTTTGTCATAATGCATTCAAAAACAAAAATTGCTATGGATAAAGATTATTTGTTTATATATTTTCAGTGGGTTTTTTAATCAAGCTCAAGCAAAACGTGAATACTGTGCTCAAATTGTATTATGGTAATGAACCACATTCCCATTATTAATCAACAGTTTTCAAACTGTATCTTGTCATTCACAACCAACATTGGTTTTTTTTGTAATATTTTGCACCTAAACATGGTCAAATAACTGTGGTCTTGTAGCATTTGTTTGTAAAAAACATGATGTTGCTAGTTGTATTTTTGTAGCAAGTATAAATGTGGTGGTTGTAGCAACCTGTACTGTACACATCATGTGGTGAATGTGGATTTTCATAGCATATACTGCACTATCTAATAAATATGGGTTTTTTTAACAGCAAATAGTACACATCATGTAATAAATGTGTAGCACAAAGTGCACGCCTAATAAATGTGATTTCTGTAGCACCAAGTGCACACCATGTAATAAATGTGGTTTAAGGCTGAGCCTATGATGACTGGGAGTATTGTGGTGGCTAAACTTTAAAGGTCAAAGGGTAAAAGAAATGGAAGAACTGAAGGTGGATACATGGCTGCAAGGGTGGGGCAGGACTGGCACACAGGTCAGAGAAAGGCAGGAAGCAACAAAAAAAGGTGACTCACCTATGGGGAAATTTCCACTGTTTGGAAATGTCAAAGTGCAGACTGCTTGCTCTAGTGAGCTATTTGCTGAGATGTTAACACCCACAACACCATCAACAGCAAATTCTGTTTGCCACACAAATTCAAGTGTGTTCCCCCACTCGGATTGAAACTCAGTTTCTGTGTAGGTGAAACCATATTGCATTAATATCCTGGGTGATAATGTGTGGGGCTACATCAAAGACTTTACCTAGGGCTAGAACTCAGTATTGAGAGAGGAATGAGTACAATGGGCCAGTTCAATGTATCATGCACTCTCAAGAGATGAACATCAAAACATGCAACCAAACATCTAAAGAAATAAAGTTACTTAAAGGAAAATGTACCAAGAATCTGATGAGTTTAATAAATAAATAGTATGGTATACAGTGATATGCTTTGCAAATGTAATAATACTACACTTGATAAAAAGTTTTATAATTTCATAGTAAATGTTGATAGATAAATAACATAGTATAGTAATATATATTTATATATATATTAAACATACAGGGCCATGCATTATATTTTCTTAGTATGATGCAAGTCATATTAAAACTAATACATTTCAGTAATTCACCATTTTTAGGGTACTTGATGTTTTTTTTTAAATGTCCCAAGTGAAAATTGCCTTCACTGGGCCACTCACTAATACAGGAGATCAATTATGAGATACTGTACAACACATTTTGTATCAGTGCAAAACTTTAGACTAACATTAAAATCAAATATTTTCTTTTATTGTTAGTTCAAAGCACAGCTATCAAATTTAACAATGCCTTTTGTTACAAATGTCAGAACAACATTTAGTGCCATTATCAGTTTTTGCACATATTTATGAAGTGATGAATTATAAACCATATTCATCAGCATCGTCCCAATATCTGAAGATTTTTGTTATTGAATTGTTCAAATTATATTTTAATTGTACTACTTATACCTCCCACACCTTACAGTGCCAGTCCATGTTGCTGCCCCTCTCCATCATAACATGGTACATATATATACACATACCTATATTTAAAAACCTTAAGAGATGCTATGCTCACCATTCAACTTAGTAAACATACATGCCAGGCTGACAATGTTGTACATAATAGACATGCAGTATATCACACATGAAAGACTCAAATTGCAGTATATCATACATGCTAGATTCACTACTTAATATATCACAAATGATAGATAATGCAGTAAATTCACATAGCATCTCATAAATTTTGAGATGGTCTGCTTTTTTATAAAATCATAATGAGAAGTCAAAAAATATATTTACTTCTAAATACAATTTTAACGTACTGTTGGATCTTTTGACATCTCTTTGTGGCTCATTAACAAATTCAATATTTTTCCATGGTAGCCCAACACTTCAAACCACTACATGCACATTTTAAAGATGATTCTAGTGCAATGCAGCACTTAAGTTTTTAAAGCAATCGATAAGATAGTTAATATTGCAAAAACCAAAACAATTAATATGTATATCGTACAGTTGTATCAAATTAACCAATGCAAAATTTTTAACTACATTCTTTTTTCGATACAGCTTGACGTAAAATTTTATAAATGCCTCTACATCAAGTAACATGATAAACAAATTACAGCAATAGATTTTTAAGGTTAGCATTGAATGTGTGCTCATGTTATTTGGTTCACATCTATTTCAATGATAATTCAGTATAAAAGTTGTTATGGATGAGCTACAAAATAAATTATCCCTGCATTGCTTTGTTACCTTGAATATAATAATTTCAGTTAAAAAGTAGGCTAACTTTTTAAGTATTTATTTTAAACAGCCTCTGTTTGTTCAAAAATAGTACTGCTAATATTTTGACATGCACTAAGCCATGTAATGTACAAACAGAATAATAACATGGGCTAACTTTTTAAAATAACAAATATTTTAAGAGTTTAAAAAACATTCATAATAAAGTAAACAAAAGACCAAAAACTTGCTAGTACACTTAAAAAACTAAATCAATTTAATAATAAATGGGTGTGTAAAATGTGATGAATAAAGGGGGGCAACCCAATATTTCAACAGGAGATATCAGAGTAAAATTTTGATACATGTTGACTTTAATAAATAAATCTAGTTTCTTACACACATTTTTGTTTGCCAATGCTAAGTAATGTTAGTGCTGTGTCAACATTTTGATCGCACATTATTTTATATACAACTGAAATTGTGGAGCAAGTAATTTACTAATTCTTTCTTAAATTTTGGTTTATACAGAATTCAGATTTGGAATAAGAATGAACTCTGTTAAGGCAGGAAATATTTTCAAGGTTTGTTGTAATCTCATTTTCCCTCATACCTTCTTTAGTACCCATGCCACTAAAAGGACTGATATTTTCTCCCTTTTATTTTATTTCTACCATAAGCTTTGCACAATTATATTAATTTTAAGTCGTGTATTATAAGCAACACAAAAAAAAATGTACAGTAAACAAAAATACAATTCACATGAGAAAATTAGTATAAAACTTTTTAAAATAATTTTTATTCTTAGAAAACTAAAAATTGTCTATTTTTCTTCTAAATTCATGTATCTGATTAATATTAGATTAACTACTTTTTCTCATACATTTTTTTAAGCACCCACATGATTTTTTAGACAATGCTGCAGTGTGTTAAAAAAATGCTACTTTGAAGGTTTTTATACTAAATAAACAAAAACAATACAAAAATCAACAAAACAGGAAGACATACAATTTTAAAATGGCAGATTTTGACCTAGATACAAGTTTCAAAAACATTGATTCAGCAAAACAACATAATAAATAAATAAATAATTATTCAGCACTAGGAATGTCATTACAGTATTGATGTGGTTTGTCCAAATGCTACAAGCATTGTTATAGTCTTAAGAAGTCAATATAATAATAAAATTTCTATGACAACAAGTAACATCTGAGCAAAATTTTGGGCTTTATACTGAGAATGCTCAGTTTAAAACATTTTCATTAGCATTTAAAAGAAGCGTTTTCATTATTGCAGTGTTTCTTACCTTCTTTTATATTAAAAAAAGTATTTAATCGCACAGTGGCCTGTAAAGTCTTGGGGATATTTGTCTCTACCCACTGAGTTACTTTATATGGTTCTACACTTTCAATATATGGTCCAGCTGCAGTGTATACACTCCATGTATTGCTGTTATGACTGCCACATTGAAGATTTGGCTCAGCTACCTCATGGCAGCTTATGTAGCAAGAAAAACGGTAAAGATTAGGTTATGAAGTGATGTTCAAATTTAGTAAAGTATTTGCAAACATCAATTATCAGATAGAGATTGCAGCAAAAGAAAGTTACAATATTCTGTTATTTTTGCATACTGTAACGTTTCAAACTGTTATTGTAACAAGTATACAAGTATATTTAGAGCAACTGGTTCATTTTTTTATTAGATTTCATTGGCTTAAATTAAGAAAAACTGAAGCATTTTTTAAATTTGTGTCACTATAATACCATCCTCAGTTATGCCTCTTTTCTACAGGATTTGAACCAACCAATGACCTGTGGCTCAGTGTAAAAGCTTTTTATAATAGCTACTTTGATGTACTATATATTCTAGGAGACTTACTAAATAAACAAAAAGATAAATCTTTTTTTTTATATTAAGTGTTATGGTGGTCACTTACCTTGTCTGACAAAGATCAGTGGAAACAGGGTATAAATATTCAATTGTTTCAAAGCACTGGCAGTCACTGCCCTGTATCCCAATAAATTCAAATCTAAAAGAAAATAAGTTATTTTCAAAATAGATATTTAATTTTAAAAAACCACTTATTATTGGAATGGGGGATGTCATGATCGGATGGTTGAGCTTTGGCTATTAGCCCCAAACTCTCGAGATTGGATCTCGGACTAGAGTTTGTAGGACATCTCTAAGTACACCCAGCTCTGATAGGTACCTGACTCATGTTAGGGAAACCAAGGTGACTGGGCATAATGCTGACCACACTATCCCATTGTTTGCTGTGGTTGTTGAAACAATAAAATCTACTTTATCTGCCCCATGGCCATTTGTCTTGTGCATGCACAGGAAAAGATATTGATAATGAATTTAGAACAGATTTTTAATGTATAATCATTTTTTTAATTTAAATCTATTTTAACATATCAACATTTAACTCTCATAACTTCTCAATAATAACATTTTACTGTTGCTAGTTAAAATTGCGAGTGCTAAATTTTAGCCTAAATCCCAGGATTACACGTCAAATAAGTTTCCAAATACAAATTATTATATATAGGTTTCTTTATAATATGCTTGACTTCCTGATCGCATTTAACTGATGCTCCTTATCATATATATATATATATATATATATATATATATATATATATATATATATATATATATATATATATATATATATATATATTGCAACATAAGGTATGAGTAGAACTATTCTTGTATACCATCAAATCTTTTGTTACCTTTCTTTTAAACATGTACGTGAACAGTTTGGAAGTTTTCCTTGAAATATTTGATTCTTCTGTATTTGGGTAAAATTCTTCTTGAAACAACCTTGATACCAGATGCCACTCTCAGTTAAACCTACAGAACAATTTAGAAATAAAGTGAAGAAAATAATTAGAGTAATTTTTAAAATTATCTTCATGGTTAATAAAAGAACTTAACTTCCAAGTACTGATTGGTTTGAAAGCAAACTAGTGATTATTTTAAAGCAAATAAGCTCCCTTTTTATTGAGAAACACCAGATATGTTTTATACTTATGAAGAAAACAATTTTAGCTTTAAGTGTTGAGTTTAAAAAAAAAAAATTTTAATTGATATAGTTTCAACCTAATAGTTTGTATTAGCAGCAAAAAAAAAACAGCTCACCAGTGTAAAATCCAAATAATATTATTGGAACAATCAATTTTTTTATTTCCATTATGACTAGCGGGTCTCTTTTCTAGTACACCTGTTACATATAGAAAAAGGAATGTTATATATATTGAAATTTTTTTTTTAATATGCTTTTGAAATTAATGAAACACAAGTGCCCTCGCCTCAAGTACAACTGTGTGGCAAGATTGCCACATGGTAGTCTCGAATTTGGATCCACATGACATCCCTGAGCAGTGTTTCTTCCAGACTTTTTTCTCCGGGGGGGCACTTGAAATTTTCGGGGGGGGGGGCGGTAAACTTTCTTCGGGGGGGCGGACACTGTTAAAAGTATATATTTTCTATATAAATTATATAAATTTCATTCCGTTCGGGGGGGGGGGGCGGTAAAAATTTTCGGGGGGGCCAAGCCCCCCCGAAGAGATGCCTGGAAGAAACTCTGTCCCTGAGTCCACCCAACAAGGATGGGAACCTGAATGACATGGACTCTAAGTATATAAAGTACCTTTAAGTATATAAAGTACTTTATTATATACACAAATTCATTGTGTTGAAGGGCTGCACACAAGTTTTTAGACATGCACTTAGATTTTTTTTATGTCTTAAATAAAGCAGGAGTGATCTCCCCTAATCTTTCTCGAATATTCTTATATAACACTACAGGGAATGGCAACTCTGGATAAAGACATAATTTTTAATCCATTTTTACTTTCTCGTATATACGAAGTATAGAGAAAGTATTGTAATCGTGCAAAAAAAAAAAAAAAAAATCGAGATTTTTACAAATCTCGACGTTTTACACCTCACTGATACGGAAAAACATAATTTTGCAATCTTGTCCGTATGTCTGTGTGTGTGTGTGTGTCTGTCCGTGTGTAAACACGATTACTTGAGTACCGTTACAGCTAGGTTGATGAAATTTCATATATAAGTATTATATCAAAATCGTAGATCCGTATCAACTTTTGAGCGATTTCCGACAACCGGAAGTGGTACTTTTTCTACTTTGAATTTTTCAAAAGCGTATAACTTGAGTACTATTTCAGATAGATAAATGATATTTCACATGTAAGTAAAAGATCTAATTCTCTACCTTCTGTAAAATTTTGAGTAATTTACGTTGACTGGAAGTAGTACTTTACGCTACTTCCGATTTCTCAAAAAACTAATGTAAATTTTAAAAGTACTAATAATATGCGTTTTTTATTTAGCGTTCACTTGGTGTGCAATTAATTTGTCTACGAGATTTTATTCTATTTTTAAAACTTTAAGTATTTAAAATGGATTAAAAATCATTTCTATAGCCCGAGTTCCCATCCCCTGTTATTTTATATAAGAATATTCGAGAAAGTTTAGGGGAGATCACTCCCGGTTTATTAATTCTTAACCTTAAGTGAACGGCAAACGATATGTGTATAATAGTGCGGAATATTATTAGTACTTTATAAATTCAATTGCGTTTTTGAGAAATCGGAAATAGAGTAAATTACTACTTCTAGTCAACGGAAATCAATCAAAATTTGAAATAAGGCAGAAATTTGATCTTTTACTTAAGTGTGAAATTTAGTTTATCTATCTGAAACAATACTCAAGTTATAGGCTTTTGAAAAACTAAAAGTACTGTTTACTAATTATTATTTGTAATTAATAATTTCAATTTATTCAATAACAGTAACAATAGTAGGCACCAGTTTAGAAGCTGCTCCTAAATGTCCTCTATGTTTACTTATATTTTTTCATATGCGGACAAGCTTGGAGTATTATAGTCGTTCACTAAATCAACTCCAGGGCGTCCTCCTGCGCCCCGACAGGGTGCTATTTGCCACCCCGGTCCTTCCCCTGAGCGCTATGGCACCGACGTTTGGTTTAATCTGTGCGATAAACTATGGATAAAATGGGGTATTATAACTAAAATTTTATGCTTTTAGTTTTTAGTTAGCCTATAAAAAATTTTTTTACATAGGCAGGCCTAGTGTAATAAATAAACTTTAAAATTCAAAACTGACCTAGGCCTAAATAATTACTTTAATTACAATTAGGACCTGGTAGGCTAATTATTTGGAATATTATTTTTAGGACTAGATCTAAATCTAGATTATTCTAGATCTATCACTTCTATTCTAATAATAACATGGCCGATGCTAGCCGGAATAAGATACGCATGCGCAATGGAGAGAAACTATGACTTGCCTTGGCGGCGATGTTTTCTACGGTACTGCGCATGCGTGTGTTTACAACCACAGAACCCTAACACCAACCCTATCCCTAGCCCTAATCCTGTCCCTAACCCTAACCCTAGCCCTCTCCCTAACCCTATCCCTAATCCTACTCCTAACCCTCATTCTAGCCCTAACCCTAGCCATAGGTCACTGCGCATGCGCAGAGCTATCTTTTGCCGACTAAGTGGAGACGTTGGGGAGAAAAATCTTCTTCCGAGTAGTCACTTCATAATAACATAGGCCCTATAGTATAGAACGCCAGTCACATAAGATAAAGATAACCTTAAATAAAATAAATAGGGCCTATTAAATTAAATAGGCTAGGCCCTACAGAGATCCTATTGACTATTGTCTTATTTATTTCTAATATTAGGGCCTAGCTGATATTAAAAACAAGGTAATTAAAAAGTCTAGTGACAATTATAGCGCAATTTCCTTATGTTATCTAAAAATAGCTCTGTCGTAGCGTAAATCAAGAGCAGGGTTAGTAAAACCATTGGTTAGTTATTAAAACGTTTTTTATTAATTTTTTTCAGTATTTTACATGTTTTATTTACAATAGAGTTACATGACTAAAAACCATTGCGCGCCTACTGAACGTGATGGCGCAGCCATGGTACACGAGGCGCAGCTATTGAACGTGATGACGCGTGTGGTGTGTTTGGAAAAAATGCCTACTAATTCGGTCCAAATTTTAATTAATTCAAAATTTTTTTTGTGACCGAACGAAAGGATATTTTTGAAAATTTTCTTCGGCAATATTGTTCTAAATTATGGCAGGAATCGATTGGTACATGTTTCAAGTCGCTTAGTGGTCTGTTTGCCGAGATATGGGCCAAAAACTGCATTTTTTCGAGGTTTTTTGGCTTTTCCGGGAAATCCATGAAAGAAACCCGTAATTTTTATGGCCTATGTTCATCCTCGTAACTTGCTTAACATAATTGCTTTTGGAACTAGTCATCGATATTGCTTCGTTGAGGAGGAGATACGACTTAAAGCCCGGACACACATTCATCCATACATTCATTCATCCATCCATTCCCAGAAATGACGAGTTAATAAACGCAATTCTCCAGAATGGAAATTGCGCTAAAAATTAAATAGGCCTAGGCCTGCCATCTACCTATATATATTAGTCTATATAGATAGATCTATATAATATTATATAGATCTAGGCCTATGCCTATTAATATAAGATCTAGGGTAGAATCAATATTTATTATTATTTAGGGACAAACTTAGGATGATTTCGTTAATTTAGTAGGTGGGCTTATGCCTTATAGTATACATTATACTAGATCTAGATCTAGATAATATAATAAATTTAAATTAGGGCCTAATAATTAAAATTTATTTGACTAGGCCCTAGGTAGGCCTAATAAAAATAAAATAAAATAAGGTGTGCGGAATAAGTTTAATAATAGATCTAATTGGCCTACTAAATTATTAATATTATTATATTATTATTAGGCCATTAACAGACTAGACGATAATAACACAATTATCTCATACTATTGATAGTGGATGTGTCCAGCGATACAGGTATATCTAGACGTATGAAGCATAATAACAACAAGAAACATTCTTTATCGATCGTCGGACGATGGAACTAGGTCCAGTACATTGGTTAATAAAAGATCACTCCTCACTGGCAAGTCCATTGCTAAACTTTGAAAGTAGTTCAAGGTAACTTTACATCGCGAATTTCTATCTATAAAATAATGCATACATCCAGTCTACATTTAAAATCAAATAACTACGAATAAAATACATTTTTATGTTTTTTTATTGTAATTTTTTTAAATAACTATAAAGCATTTTCTCTAAATGAAAATGTATTTTATTCAATGATATAAACAGAACTATATTATGCCGCGCTTAATAACAACACCTGCTGAATTTGTCTTATGATGCTGTTGAAAATAAAAGGATGCTATGCCAAGCGAGATAACTAGATTTATTAACCACTATTACTTTTCAAAGTTACTAATCTTGCCTAGATCTACATTATTTTGGTTGGGGAGTTAAAAAATGAGAGAAAATGACCTTTAAAGACCGGCAATGATTAGACAACTAAATATGGAAATACAGTTCATACACACGTAACTGTTTAACAATATAAACACGTCTCGACTCCTAAGAACGGGGTCTCTCCCATAAATAACGTCACATTTTTTTAGGCGGGAGGTAAGGGGTCCGTAATTTCGTGACGGTGTGTGATGAAGGGGAGGGGGGGGGGTGTTCAGATGGTGTGACGTCACACTTTAGCATTATAAAAAAGCAATGTTAGAAATCTAATTTTAGCCGTTATCTGTGACGTCGTTGTAGGGGGGGGGGTCTGGCTTTTTGTGACGGAGGGGAGGTAAAGTCATTTTAAAAGAGCGTGACGTCATTTATGGATGACCCCAAAGGGCTATGTAAGCCCTATATCATTTTAATCAGTATCTCCCCCCCCCCCCCCCCCGAACGAAATGCAATTTATATAGAAAATATATATTTAACAGCGTCCGTCCCCCCCCCCCCCCCCCCCGAAAATTTCAAGTGCCCCCACCCCCCGAAGAAAAAAGTCAGGAAGAAACACTGGTTTTAATCATATGCGATATTTAAACACGGCTGCGGTTATTAGTAGTTCACTACAAATAACCCTCAGAAGGCTATTTAAAAATGTGCACTCTGCGAACACATGTTCTTCCAGGCATCTCTCCGGGGATGCTGAGCCTCAATGAGCATTTATGTAGCTTATTTATAAATTGTATTGTTTTACCCTTTTTCGCCCTTAGTTTTGATTTCTCCTATATTTTTGGGGATGCCTGCGCTTATAACCATCTTAACGTATAGAACTTTAAATTGTCTTAAAACACCCAGAATAGATATGCTAGATCTATATATTTAAGGTTTAAAGCGGTCTTTGTTTCCCCCAGTTTTTTTACTTAAAATTGGCTCATCTATTTACATACACATTTTACCCGGATCAGGGTTTCTTTCAGACATTTTGGTGGAAGCATTTATTTTTCTATTCCGCCCGACGGGCGGTGGACCAACATAGGTGCAGTTGCGGAATAAGGATGGGGGGTAGCTGAGGGGACTGCAGTCAGGGTACCCGATAATCCCGATTTTTAGGGGCCCCACATTTTCACTTACAAACAATAGTAATATCACTTTACAACTTAATTGTTGTTTTTTTACTATAAAAGTAACATTTTATGACGAAAGGACTGACACACGACCAGCCGGCATATATATATATATATATATATATATATATATATATATATATATATATATATATATATATATATATATATATATATATATATATATATATATATATATATATATATAATTTTCAGCCGGGGCCCCATTCAAGCTTAGTCCGCCCCTGCACAGGAGAGTTGCCTAAAAATATACACTGAACTCTTGTCCACTACGCCAATAGCGTGCTCAGTTTTATTTGACAAGATCTAGACCAGGGGTCTCCAAACTACGGCCCGCGGGCCGGATGCGGCCCGCGAGGTCCTCTCATCCGGCCCGCGGAGATCTTTTTGTCCACGAAAAAAACGTTTGTTGGTGATGGCTGAGGAACTTTGCTCAGAAAAATCACAATATGCCTGGAAGAAACTGGCCCCCGAACTCAAATTTGACAGTTAATGCGGCCCTCGGGCTGAAAAGTTTGGAGACCCCTGATCTAGACTAAATGGAATTTGACTACGACAATATTTGGTGGTAAAAACAACTCAACCTGAACGCACGCTGATCGCAATGATGTTAATCCGCCCAGCAAAATTAGCGTTGCGTTTGTTTATACTAAATATTATTGCGATCAAGACAACATCGGTGCTTGGAATTCGTTTGTTAAAAGATTATTAAATCAAAGAAAATATGTTTTAAAAAAAAGAAAGAAAAAAAAATATTCGGGGTATGAGAGGAAGATATTGAAAGACATTTCGGATCACCAACAAATATCACCCAAATATGCAATTTTGAAGACATTTTTATCCAAGCTGAAAATTTTCTACTTCGAAAACAGCACAACCAGAAATTGACGTTTCTAAAGCTATCATGTATAAAACACACAGGCGATCACACCAACTCATATGAAGAACCAGTAGCCGAGCCTGGAGGCCATCTAGTATTGCCATTGCATTTTAGTAGACACCCATTTAGATTAAGAGCTTGAAATAACGATGCCAATCAAACTTACCGCTATAATTGATTCAAATGTGGAATATCCTACATACAGTGTTTCTTCTAGACTTTTTCTCTCCGAGGTGGCACTTGATATTTTCGGGGGGGGGGGGGGACGGGACGGGGGGGGGGACGACGACGACGACGACGACACTGGTAAAAGTAGAGGTTATCTATATAAAATCCATTATTGCGTTCGGGGGGGGGGGGCGGTAGGCAGCAAAGCCCCCCCCCCTCCCGAAGAGATGTCTGGAAGAAACTCTGCCTAGAGATCTGTGTTTGTTTTGTATTACATCTGTACTGTAACACCAGATTTAGTACGTTTTCCTTGTTGGCTTTTAAATACTATTGGGGGTGATCTAAAAGATGGTAGTTGTAACTCTGCTGAAGGCCCGACGAAAATGAGAAACATGAAAGCTCTAAAATTCACGAGATTGCAGAAAATTAACTTTTTCTTACGAAATTTAATATAATTTTTACAAGCTTTTATTTAACTCACTTCCTCGTCAGTCTGTCGTCAGTCTGTCTGTCTAGATCGAAACGCCGGAGCGAAATTGCAGGCACTTCTACTTGACTGATACGGTTCGTAGTTGGTACATGGGTCAAGACATGAAGACAATGCATCATGACATTCAATTTGACTTAATTGGTCGCCTGATTAATTTTTTAAGAGTTAATTAAAAATTAGACCAAATTAGTAGGCATTTCTATCCAACTACTCCACAAGCGTCATCGCGTTCAATAACTCGTTAACACGCTCAATAGGCGTGCAATGGTTTTTTAGTCATGTAACTCTATTGTAAATAAAACATGTAAAGTACTGAAAAAAAAATTCATTAAAAACATTTTAATAACAAGCTTTTATGTAATAATGCACTAAAAAGTAGAAAATAAATTATACACTACTATTTAAATAACCATAAAGAAAAGCGTGAGTCTCTTCTCAAATATTAGTAAAGGTATCCAATAGATACTAAAGTGACCCACGCTTTTCTTTATAGTTATTTAGATAGTAGTAGTGTATAATTTATTTTCTACTTTTTAGTGCATTATTACATAAAAGCTTGTTATTAAAACGTTTTTTTATGAATTTTTAAAACTAGATCTAGTAATATGACTGTTAATTATTCTCTGTATAGAAAATCCGGTATTAGCATTTAGATGATTTAGGCGATTTAGGCCTATAGTGAATCCTAAAGTTAAGGAGAGATAATATCAAATAAATTCAAATAATGGAAAAAAAAATTGGAATTCGTTAAACTCCTATCAAAGAATAATGATTTGTTGAAGAAAAGTTTTGAATTTGTTTTGAATTTTTGTTGTATTAATATCCTGGAAAAGAATTCTACATAACTACCCATTTAACTTAATTAAGCTTATTATGTCATAGTAATACGTTTAATCGTAAGTAAACCTGTACATGTAGACTCTTAGTGACGCAGTAAATTGTAAGTAAACCTTTACATGTAGACTCTGAGTGACGCAGTAAATTGTAAGTAAACCTGTACATGTAGACTCTTAGTGACGCAGTAAATTGTAAGTAAACCTGTACATGCAGCGGCGTAGCGAGATCGGGTGTCACCTGGTGCGGCAACCTCCAGAGGCGTAGCGACCCTTCCCGGGGACAAACTTTCAACTTTCGATTTGCACCTCTTAAAACACTATTTAACACTCGAATTAATCACTAAATTAAGTGGAATTATCATTTTTCTCTATATTTTTTGCCTTGGTGTCACCCCCCTAAATGGTGTGTACATGTAGACTCTTAGTGACGCAGTAAATTGTAAGTAAACCTGTACATGTAGACTCTTAGTGACGCAGTAAATTTTAAGTAAACCTGTACATGTAGACTCTTTGTGACGCAGTAAATTGTAAATAAACCTGTACATGTAGACTCTTAGTGACGCAGTAAATTGTAAGTAAACCTGTACATGTAGACTCTTTGTGACGCAGTAAATTGTTAGTAAACTTTTACATGTAGAATCTTAGCAGAGGCGTAGCGACCCTTCCCGGCGCCCGGGGACAAACTTTTCGATTTGCACCCATCCTCAAACTTTCGATTTGCACCCCCCCCCTCGAGATTTCCATTTGCACCCCCCCCCCCTCAAACTTTCGATATGCACCCCCCTCAACCTTTCAATTTATTTTTCCAACCCATTTTGGCGCCCGGGGACATATGTCCCCCCCCCCCCTCGCTACGCTACTGAATCTTAGTGACTCTCTTGAAACGGCAAGTGGATATTTTGTGTGCAGTCCATGGCTACTTTATCTTAATGTCTATAGCTTATATAATGTTTTAGCACTACCCACCCAAAAAAATGATTGTGTATAACTCCATCAAATTATATCTCGCATAGGCCACAGGTTTTATACAGCTACACAACACAGTGAATGCTAATCAATCAGAAAATAGTTTTTGAAATCCTAAAACAAAGACACCATTGACATTTGTAAGCGCTATCACTTAAATTTAAAAATAGCGAAGCTATAGCAGATAGACCTCATACAATGATAGATGATACCGACTCACAAGTGTCTACAGACATCTTTAAATGTGACGGCAAGTTTGATGAAGGTGCTTTAGTTTTTCCTGTATTGTCCTGTGGAACACAAAACATCCATCAGAGGGGATTTGGGTCTGGCCACAACAGTAATTTCCAATCAGACACCCATCAACAGATGCTTGTTAGGTCAGTTGTAGAATTACAGGGATGGATGGATGGATTGCTGATGGGGTCTTTAGATGGATAGATACTTAACAGGGACAAACGATTCATTGTGAAGGAAAAATAAACAAATACGCATGCAGTGGTTTTTGTAAAAGCTAGGTGTTAAAATTGACTAGAAAATGGCCATTGTTAGTTTATTGTCTGAAAGGTCAGTTGTATATATATATATATATATATATATATATATATATATATATATATATATATATATATATATATATATATATATATATATATATATATATATCATACTAACATTTTCACATCAAACAAGGATATTCACATCACATTTACTAGCATATTAAAACAAACAAATATGTAGGCAATTAGAAGTTAAAAATTTAATCAAGATAAATAAAACATCAACTACTTTATACATTACAGCTAAACAGCTTGAGATCAAGAAACTGAGTATCACAGGATACATCCATTGGTGGAGGTATTCAGATGCCCATCATACACTCATATATTTGGGGGGGGGGGCATTTGCTTTAAATTACTGCCATTCAATTTAAAAAAGATGGCACTAATGAATAATAAACTAATTATGTTTGATAAAAATCAAAACATGTTATCTAGTGGCCTTTTTACTGAATGTTCAATCACAAGTAACAATGTAGGCCTAGTTTTCCATATGAAAAATAGACATACACTTTTTAAAAAATGTGCTATCCTAACATTTTATTAACAAACATTTAAAAATATAGACCTACACTGACAGCGATGAAGTTGTATCCAGATTATTATTTCACATTATGATTTATGAACAATTTTATTTAGGGATCATGCACAAATGATATGACAAAATAAGACAGGCTTGACCCACTCCTTGTAACAATTCCATAGAGTCCTCCCCTATTTTATAAAACAATTTATAAACAACCCATCTTCATGGAACAACACATCACTTATGACTGGAACATCTTTATTTTATAACTGTATTAGTTCAATCAAACATTAAACAGGAAATTAGTCATGGAAACTTTAAAAAATACTCCATTAATAAAAATGATAGTTATAATACTTGCAGGCTCCCTTATGAATAGTTGAGTATTTTACCCACATCAATGTTTATGAATGAAAACAAACATACAATGGGAGATCTAAGGCACCATCCATACTATTAGAGGACTTTTTAATGTCAATTGCTTGATAATTAGTTGAATTATTGCTCACTGGTTTGGTTAAATAATACAACAAGTTTTTAAGAGTGGGAATATCTAAAGGGACAGAAATCTTGAAATTTAAAAAAGTTTCAGCTTGTGACCCATTAAAGGATTAAAATATTTTAGTTTTTTTTTTAAGTTTTAACAAATTTTGGGAATTTTAAAAGTTATTGCTCAGTAACAGGGCATAAAAACAAGAGTGGAAACATTGCTAAATAGTATCTCTATATTGGTATTAATGTCACATTAATCAAAAGTTAATTTTACAAATTCAAAATCATGTGAAAGATTATTTACACGTTAAACAAAATTATTTACAGGTGAAACAAAAATTGATTAATTACTACTAAGAAAATCAATCACCCCTTCTTCTTCTTCTTTTCCAATTAAAACTATAATCAAAAGTCCACTGCTGAAAACTTCTGGTGTCTGTGGGAACAATTTTAGAATCCTTGTATTGGTCATTGGAGAAGACTTTGGTCTCTTTAGATGGCTGGTCTGATCTTTGATTTGATATTACGACATCTGTCCAGTGGCCACGCTCACAAGGCAGGAGCTGGACAGCCTCATTGTCAATTGATGTCACACACAGATCTGTCTCATCCAATCGCAGTAAGCCATTCTGACGAGAGGACGAAAAAAATAGAAGGTCACTTGTGAGCAGTATCAAATTAGGACTATTATGTGTACAAATAAATTACTAGTAGGCCTATAATGTTAGTGCACTGACAGAGCACAAAAATACTTTCCCAACAGTCTTGCCACATCTCACATGTGTAGGATATCATAGAGTCCACCCAACTCTGATGGATGCCTTATAATCTTTACTGAACATAAAGAAAGCTTCACATAGATCACATGTGTAAGATGTCATAGAGTCCACCCAACTCGGATGGGTGCCTGACAATCTGTACTGAACATAAAGACTGCTTCACATAGATCACATGTCTAGGTAAAACCAACAGATTTTAACCAAGCCTTTTATTTATCTAACAAATGTTGGACATTACCATATTACTAGGACTACTCAACATCATCACATTACTAGGCCTACCCAACATCATCACATTACTAGGACTACTCAACATCATCACATTACTAGGACTACTCAACATCATCACATTACTAGGCCTACCCACCATCATCACATTACTCACCATCATCACATTACTAAGACTACCCACCATCATCACATTACTAAGACTACCCACCATCATCACATTACTAGGCCTACCCAACATCATCACATATTACTAAGACTACCCACCATCATCACATTACATAGGGTCAGTTACCTGATAAGTCCAGGTCACATTGTGTCTACAGACAGATAAGGTCAGCTGCTTGTTCCTGCCTGGCACAATACAAGCCTCACCTTGTACAAGTCTATTAGCTGAAGTCATTCTAAAGGTCTGTGGAATGGAAGAATAAGACATTCTATGAACATTGATAGAAGTTAAACTAGGCAATCTATAAAAGTTTATGTTTATATACATTAAAATAACAGGACAGTGTCACACAGCTATAATAACAGCAGTGTCACACAGCTATAACAGCAGTGTCACACAGCTATAACAGCACAGTGTCACACAGCTATAACAACACAGTGTCACACAGCTATAACAGCAAAGTGTCACACAGCTACAACAGCACAGTGTCACACAGCTATAACAGCACAGTGTCACACAGCTATAACAGCACAGTGTCACACAGCTACAACAGCACAGTGTCACACAGCTATAACAACACAGTGTCACACAGCTATAACAACACAGTGTCACACAGCTATAACAGCACACTGTCACACAGCTATAACAGCACAGTGTCACACAGCTATAATAGCACATAGTCAAACAGCTATAACAGCACAGTGTCACACAGCTACAACAGCACAGTGTCATACAGCTATAACAGCACAGTGTCACACAGCTATAATAGCAGTGTCACACAGCTATAATAGCACAATGTCACACAGCTATAATAGCAGTGTCACACAGCTATAACAGCACAGTGTCACACAGCTATAATAGCAGTGTCACACAGCTATAACAGCACAGTGTCACACAGCTATAACAGCACAGTGTCACACAGCTATAACAGCACAGTGTCACACAGCTATAACAGCAAAGTGTCACACAGCTACAACAGCACAGTGTCACACAGCTATAACAGCACAGTGTCACACAGCTATAATAGCACAGTGTCACACAGCTATAACAGCACTGTCACACAGCTATAACAACACAGTGTCACACAGCTATAATAGCAGTGTCACACAGCTATAATAGCACTGTCACACAGCTATAACAGCAGTTTCAGACAGCTATAACAGCACAATGTCATACAGCTATAACAGCACAATGTCACACATCTATAACAGCACTGTCACACAGCTATAACAGCACAGTGTCACACAGCTATAATAGCAGTGTCACACAGCTATAACAGCACAGTGTCCCACAGCTATAACAACACAGTGTCACACAGCTATAATAGCAAAGTGTCACACAGCTACAACAGCACAGTGTCATACAGCTATAACAGCAAAGTGTCACACAGCTACAACAGCACTGTCACACAGCTATAACAGCACAGTGTCACACAGCTATAATAGCAAAGTGTCACACAGCTATAACAGCAGTGTCACACAGCTATAACAGCACAGTGTCACACAGCTATAACAGCACAGTGTCACACAGCTACAACAGCACAGTGTCATACAGCTATAATAGCAAAGTGTCACACAGCTATAATAGCAAAGTGTCACACAGCTATAACAGCAGTGTCACACAGCTATAACAGCACAGTGTCACACAGCTATAACAGCACAGTGTCACACAGCTACAACAGCACAGTGTCATACAGCTATAATAGCAGTGTCACACAGCTATAACAGCACAGTGTCACACAGCTATAACAGCACAGTGTCACACAGCTACAACAGCACAGTGTCATACAGCTATAATAGCAAAGTGTCACACAGCTATAATAGCAAAGTGTCACACAGCTATAACAGCAGTGTCACACAGCTATAACAGCACAATGTCATACAGCTATAACAGCACAATGTCATACAGCTATAACAGCACTGTCACACAGCTACAACAGCACAGTGTCACACAGCTACAACAGCACAGTGTCATACAGCTATAACAGCACATAGTCAAACAGCTATAACAGCACAGTGTCACACAGCTACAACAGCACAGTGTCACACAGTTATAACAGCACAGTGTCACACAGCTATAATAGCACATAGTCAAACAGCTATAACAGCACAGTGTCACACAGCTACAACAGCACAGTGTCATACAGCTATAACAGCACAGTGTCACACAGCTATAATAGCAGTGTCACACAGCTATAACAGCAGTGTCACACAGCTATAACAGCACAATGTCACACAGCTATAACAGCAAAGTGTCACACAGCTACAACAGCACAGTGTCATACAGCTATAATAACACAGTGTCACACAGCTACAACAGCACAGTGTCACACAGCTATAACAACACAGTGTCACACAGCTATAACAGCACTGTCACACAGCTATAATAGCACAATGTCACACAGCTATAATAGCAGTGTCACACAGCTATAACAGCACAGTGTCACACAGCTATAATAGCAGTGTCACACAGCTATAACAGCACAGTGTCACACAGCTATAACAGCAGTGTCACACAGCTATAACAGCACTGTCACACAGCTATAATAGCACAATGTCACACAGCTATAATAGCAGTGTCACACAGCTATAACAGCACAGTGTCACACAGCTATAATAGCAGTGTCACACAGCTATAACAGCACAGTGTCACACAGCTATAACAGCAGTGTCACACAGCTATAACAACACAGTGTCACACAGCTATAACAACACAGCTCTAAGAGCATACTGTCACACAGTTATAACAGCAGTGTCACACTATAACAGCAGTGGCACACAGCTATAACAGCACAGTGTCACACAGCTATAACAACACAGTGTCACACAACTATAACAGCACAGTGTCACACAGCTATAACAGCACAGTGTCACACAGCTATAACAACACAGTGTCACACAGCTATAACAGCACAGTGTCACACAGCTATAACAGCACTATCACACAGCTATAACAGCACAATGTCACACAGCTATAACAACACACTGTCACACAGCTATAACAACACAGTGTCACACAGCTATAACAGCACAATGTCACACATCTATAACAGCACAATGTCACACAGCTATAACAGCACAATGTCACACAGCTATAACAACACAGTGTCACACAGCTATAACAGCACAATGTCACACAGCTATAACAACACAGTGTCACACAGCTATAACAGCACAATGTCACACAGCTATAACAGCACAATGTCACACAGCTATAACAACACAGTGTCACACAGCTATAACAGCACAATGTCATACAGCTACAACAGCACAATGTCACACAGCTATAACAACAGTGTCACACAGCTATAACAGCACAATGTCACGCAGCTATAACAGCACAGTGTCACACAGCTATAACAGCACACTGTCACACAGCTATAACAGCACAATGTCACACAGCTATAACAGCACAATGTCACACAGCTATAACAACAGTGTCACACAGCTATAACAGCACAATGTCACGCAGCTATAACAGCACAATGTCACACAGCTATAATAGCACAATGTCACACAGCTACAACAGCACAGTGTCAGACAGCTATAACAGCACAGTGTCACACAGCTATAACAGCACTATCACACAGCTATAACAGCACAGTGTCACACAGCTATAACAGCACAGTGTCACACAGCTATAACAGCACAGTGTCACACAGCTATAACAACACAGTGTCACACAGCTATAACAGCACAGTGTCACACAGCTATAATAGCACATAGTCAAACAGCTATAACAGCACAGTGTCACACAGCTACAACAGCACAGTGTCACACAGCTATAACAGCACAGTGTCATACAGCTATAACAGCACAGTGTCACACAGCTATAACAGCACAGTGTCACACAGCTATAACAACACAGTGTCACACAGCTATAACAGCACAGTGTCACACAACTATAACAGCACAATGTCACACAGCTATAACAACACAGTGTCACACAACTCTACAAAACCTGACCTGATTCCTTCCATTGTGACAAGGTGTGAGGCCTACAAAGAAATCCGTTGCTGAGTTGACCACATCAAAACACATCAAAGAGCCCTTGTTTCTAACCTGAGGAAGGTCAGTTCAAAAGCTTCTTTATTTAAGTGTGTATAATAGACCCAACATCCAAATCTTCCATCTTCATCAAACATTAAACACAACATCCTAATACTAAATTATTTTTACAATGAATGGATTTATCAAGATGGGAGTTATTTGTAATCTATTTTGATCTGATGAACTTACTTGCCTATATTCTACAGTATCTGGTTTAACAACTAACTTGCCCATATTCCACAGTATCTGGTTTAACAACTTACTTGCCTATACTCCACAGTATCTGGTTTAACAACTTACTTGCCCATACTCCACAGTATCTGGTTTAACAACTTACTTGCCCATACTCCCTAGTATCTGGTTTAACAACTTACTAGCCTATACTCTACTGTATCTGGTTTAACAACTTACTTGGCCATACTCCAGTATCTAGTTTAACAACTAACTTGCCCATATTCCACAGTATCTGGTTTAACAACTTCTAGCCTATAGTCCACAGTATCTGGTTTAACAACTTACTTGCCTATACTCCACAGTATCTGGTTTAACAACTTACTTGCCCATATTCCACAGTATCTGGTTTAAAAACTTACTTGCCTATACTCCACAGTATCTGGTTTAACAACTTACTTGCCTATACTCCACAGTATCTGGTTTAACAACTTACTTGCCTATAGTCCACAGTATCTGGTTTAACAACTTACTTGCCTATACTCCAGTATCTGGTTTAACAACTTACTTGCCCATACTCCACAGCATCTGGTTTAACAACTTACTTGCCCATACTCCACAGTATCTGGTTTAACAACTTACTAGCCCATACTCCAGTATCTGGTTTAACAACTTACTTGGCCATACTCCAGTATCTGGTTTAACAACTTACTTGCCTATACTCCACAGTATCTGGTTTAACAACTTACTTGCCCATACTCCACAGTATCTGGTTTAACAACTTACTTGCCTATACTCCACAGTATCTGGTTTAACAACTTACTTGCCTATACTCCACAGTATCTGGTTTAACAACTTACTTGCCTATAGTCCACAGTATCTGGTTTAACAACTTACTTGCCTATACTCCAGTATCTGGTTTAACAACTTACTTGCCCATACTCCACAGTATCTGGTTTAACAACTTACTTGCCCATACTCCACAGTATCTGGTTTAACAACTTACTAGCCCATACTCCAGTATCTGGTTTAACAACTTACTTGGCCATACTCCAGTATCTGGTTTAACAACTTACTTGCCCATACTCCAGTATCTGGTTTAACAACTTACTTGGCCATACTCCAGTATCTAGTTTAACAACTTACTTGCCCATACTCCAGTATCTGGTTTAACAACTTACTTGCCTATACTCCACAGTATTTGGTTTAACAACTTACTTGCCCATACTCCACAGTATCTGGTTTAACAACTTACTTGCCTATACTCTACAGTATCTGGTTTAACAACTTACTTGCCCATACTCCAGTATCTGGTTTAACAACTTACTTGCCCATACTCCACAGTATCTGGTTTAACGACTTACTTGCCTATACTCCACAGTATTTGGTTTAACAACTTACTTGCCCATACTCCACAGTATTTGGTTTAACAACTTACTTGCCTATACTCTACAGTATTTGGTTTAACAACTTACTTGCCCATACTCCAGTATCTGGTTTAACAACTTACTTGCCTGTACTTCACAGTATCTGGTTTAACAACTTACTTGCCCATACTCCACAGTATCTGGTTTAACAACTTACTTGCCTGTACTCCACAGTATCTGGTTTAACAACTTACTTGCCCATACTCCACAGTATTTGGTTTAACAACTTACTAGCCTATACTCTACAGTATTTGGTTTAACAACTTACTTGCCCATACTCCAGTATCTGGTTTAACAACTTACTTGGCCATACTCCAGTATCTAGTTTAACAACTAACTTGCCCATATTCCACAGTATCTGGTTTAACAACTTCTAGCCTATAGTCCACAGTATCTGGTTTAACAACTTACTTGCCTATACTCCACAGTATCTGGTTTAACAACTTACTTGCCCATACTCCACAGTATCTGGTTTAACAACTTACTTGCCTATACTCCACAGTATCTGGTTTAACAACTTAGTTGCCCATACTCCACAGTATCTGGTTTAACAACTTACTTGCCTATACTCTACAGTATCTAGTTTAACAACTTACTTGCCCATACTCCACAGTATCTGGTTTAACAACTTACTTGCCCATACTCCAGTATCTGGTTTAACAACTTATTTGCCCATACTCCACAGTATTTGGTTTAACAACTTACTTGCCCATACTCCACAGTATCTGGTTTAACAACTTACTTGCCTATAGTCCACAGTATCTGGTTTAACAACTTACTTGCCTATACTCCAGTATCTGGTTTAACAACTTAGTTGCCCATACTCCACAGTATTTGGTTTAACAACTTACTAGCCTATACTCTACAGTATTTAGTTTAACAACTTACTTGCCCATACTCCACAGTATCTAGTTTAACAACTTACTTGCCCATACTCCACAGTATCTGGTTTAACAACTTACTTGCCCATACTCCAGTATCTGGTTTAACAACTTACTTGCCTATACTCCACAGTATTTGGTTTAACAACTTACTTGCCCATACTCCACAGTATCTGGTTTAACAACTTACTTGCCCATACTCCACAGTATCTGGTTTAACAACTTACTTGGCCATACTCCAGTATCTAGTTTAACAACTTACTTGACCATACTCCACAGTATCTGGTTTAACAACCTACTTGCCTATACTCCACAGTATCTAGTTTAACAACTTACTTGCCTATACTCTACAGTATCTGGTTTAACAACTTACTTGCCTATACTCCACAGTATCTGGTTTAACAACTTACTTGCCCATACTCCACAGTATTTGGTTTAACAACTTACTTGCCTATACTCCAGTATCTGGTTTAACAACTTACTTGCCCATACTCCACAGTATCTGGTTTAACAATGTCCATCTGGGGGAAAACATTATCCAAGTACCATTTGAAAGACTGACAGTTTAAGCTCTTCCTTAGCTCCACTCTTTCTGTGATGTCCCCAATGTCACTCTCATTCTGAACCTTCTGTAAATGATTTTTTACAAGCTTTTATTTAACTCACTTCCTCGTCAGTCTGTCGTCAGTCTGTCGTCAGTCTGTCTAGACGGAAACGCAGGAGTGAAAATTCGGACAGTTCTACTTGACCGATACGATTCACAGTTGGCACGTGGGTCAAGACATGAAGACAATGCAATCTGAAACTAAATTTGACTTAATTGGATGCCTAATTAATTTTTTATTAATTAATTAAGATTTGGACCGAATTAGTAGGCATGTCTAGCCAACCTTAACATTAGTAAAGGTATCCAATAGATACTAAAGTGACCCACGCTTTTCTTTATAGTTATTTAAATAGTAGTCTATAATTTATTTTCTACTTTTTAGTGCATCATTACATAAAAGCTTGTTATTAAAACGTTTTTTATGAATTTTTTTTACAGCTATCAACTACCAACTTTTGTTGTTGGCTCATGTTATACTTACAAAACATAATAAACAAAGATATATAAAACCTGATAAAACATTAGTCTAAAATACTTAAGAAAATATTAGAGAGTTTTCTAATAAAGACAAGATGGTACCCACCACAGCAGCGTAGAAGATCTGAGCGTACTCATCCATCCAAACACTGGCCACACGGCCAAGGTTCCTCAGCACAACCTCCTCCCTGTCACCAATGAAAGTGTACGGCAATGAGGACCTGAAGACATGGCCGACCCGTGAGCAGGGCAGGATCTCCATGCTGCCCCCACACATCCAGGTCTGGGGGGACAGCAAGTCATTGGTTAGAGGGTGGTGTATGTTAGACTGTACTAGTCGTATGGTGTAATGTTATACTGTTTTAGTCAAATAGAATGGTACCCCAGTGTATGTTAGACTGTACTAGTCAAATAGAATGGTACCCTAGTATATGTTAGACTGTACTAGTAAAAAAGAATGGTAACCTAGTGAAAAAATATGCTCATCATGTGTGAGAATAGAGATTGTTCTAAAAAATTTATTCTAGAAATTCTATTTTACCCTGTAGATATTGTTCATCAAATGTTTAATTAAGAGATTCTATTTTTACCTTGAAGGAAAGTTCAAAGTTCTCTCCACCCCAGATGTTGAGTTGGGGGTCATAACCTCCCAGAGATGTGAAGTAGACACGCCACATAGCAAAGAGGCCTCCACTTATCACAGGTGTTCTAAACAAAAACAGGAAACGAAATATTTAGGGCCTATGTATAACAGCCAAATCATGGGAAAGTAAAGAGTTCCTGCACCTGCATATATGGCACAAAAGTTCTCAAGTATTTTTTATAAGTTGAAAAAAAACCTAGTAAGTGATCAGAAACAAGGTTGTATGTCTTAACTCTTACTTCTTCTTCTTCTACGTTCTTAATTATTAGTGTTGAAGGGGATCGAGATTTATCTGCCAGTGGGTTTGAACTCGAGACTTTGTTCGAATTTATCAACCATGAGCTTTTTTGCCGACTCGACCACGCCTCCAACACAATTAAGCGTTACGTGTCAACTGGTTATGCGCCATTGAGGCCATTGACTCCGATTTCAGCCTGCTTTTCTTTTTGGATTTGCTCCCATAGCCTTTGCCCAACCAAGAACAAACTACAAGGCAGCAGTTGTTTAATTTTGGAGTTGTGTCTCCTAGAAGAGTGGCTGTCCCCAGCTAATGAGCCTCATCTGCCCGAGGGTTCGAACTCGAGACTTTTCGGTTTAGCAACCATGAGCTTTACCGACCCCTTACTACTCTTACTGAATGGGGTCTTTTTCCTGCCAAGAATGATCCCCCTTGGCTGAGGCTGCTCGCCACCCAAACTCCAGCCTCCAGTTGAAGCCACCTTTAAGGCGTGGTGGTGACTGCTTGTACTGGAAGCTTTCTGCCTTGATGGTATCAATGTAGGGTGTTACCACCTGTAAAACAAAATGGTATCAATGTAGGGTGTTACCACCTGTAAAACAAAACAAAATGGTATCAATGTAGGGTGTTACCACCTGTAAAACAAAATGGTATCAATGTAGGGTGTTACCACCTGTAAAACAAATAAAATGGTATCAATGTAGGGTGTTACCACCTGTAAAACAAAACAAAATTGTACCAATGTAGGGTGTTAGTCCTGGATAAATAGAAAATGCTAACCTTCTTTGGTCTCTGTTTTAACTTAATTTAGTCCTGGATAAATAGAAAATGCTAACCTTCTTTGGGCTGTGTTTTAAGCTGTACAGCAGTGGCTCCAACCATCCAACATTGCACTCACAATGTGCATCGAGAAAAACAATGACATCAGAGCTGCTCATACTGCCACCTGGATATGAATTTTTTTAATTGATAGTTTTAACTGGGCCTAAAAAATTAATGAAAAAATCCATCTCTTAGAAGTTAATACTTAATACTGTTATTTGATCATTTTAGAATTTGTTTTTCATTGGAATTAGGGCTTCATCTACACCAGTGTAGGCCTATTTATTTAGTTATTTAGGAACTATTTTAAATAGATCTAGTTCTAGACAATCTAGAATAATCTAGATTCTATATGTAAAATGATTCGAGTCCTTGAACAAAGTCTAGATCTAAGCCTAATCACTCTTCTGACATTAACAATTCCAAATAATTGTTGGTTCTCTCCCTTAGGTAGCTTTTTCTGCTCCCCTTGTGAGACGCCAAAGTTGATTAAAAGAAGGGGATAACCACTTGGTACTAGATCTAGATCTAGATCCCGAAAGTCTGTCTTTAATGTACAGTTGCCAATTTAGTTTGAATTTAGTATCCTTGCATTCAGTCGCTGAGTTAATTTCTTTATTTTTTTTCCCCATCAAGCTAATTTTCTTGATGCCCGTCGTTCTGCTACTGCTTGTGGACGCATTTAGCAGACGTGTGTCCTTTTGTTAAAACAATTTTTTTTTACGGTTTTCTACAAATTAGATATCGGCCTATAATTAGATCTTAATCTGTTTGTTGTCATTAATATTTCGGATAAGACTACAAATTCGGAACAAGTCACATTTTATTTTCGTCGTAGGCCCTAATACAAACAAAGCTTAACTATGTCTCTCTGAGTTTATTAATAGGCTCATAAATTATAGAAAAATAATCGAAAATTTGTCAAAGAGGCTTTTTTTAAAATTTAAATAATAAATTGAGCTTCCAAAAAATATTGACGAGTTAAAGTTAAAGAATTATTTAAAAAACAACGCAACAAAATATTGACCAGTAGGCCTAATGGTGAGTATCCTGGTACATCATGCATGAGGAAAATGTTGGCTTGATTAAGTTTTTTTATGAAATGCGTGAAGTAGACAGTAGACACGACGCCCGTTGTGATCTAATCGCATGTGGAAACTAGACGCCCATTAAATAGTTATTCTTCTGCTCTGTTGCTTTTTTTCTGCAGTCTGGCGTTATAAAAAATCAGTTTACAGATGGATGCTAGGCAGAGAAGGCCGCCATTAAATCAGCTTCCCTGTTGGGGGGGGGGGGGGGGTCTGACCTTGTATCAGCACCAACAGTGGACGGTCTTTAAGGTCAGATTGTTTGTCGCTCACCCTCGAGCACAAAGGCATTAGGGGGCGACTGTGTTGATTTCATCAACGGTCCACGGGCTAATAAAGGACAGCTTCAAATTGGAATAGCATCAATTAAAAAGGCCTTGTCTTTTTACCAGAGCTCACTTGAATGTCCCACTTTCAGCGAGTGACTGTCAGAACAAAGAGCCGCAGGGACAAACAAAGCGCCGGAGTTGGACATGGCTAGACTGGACAGGGCTGTGGCTAGACTGGACAGGGCTGTGTGGCTAGACTGGACAGGGCTGTGGCTAGACTGGACAGGGCTGTGGCTAGACTGGACAGGGCTGTGTGGCTAGACTGGACAGGGCTGTGTGGCTAGACTGGACAGGGCTGTGTGGCTAGACTGGACAGGGCTGTGTGGCTAGACTAGACAGGGCTGTTTGGCTAGACTAGACAGGGCTGTTTGGCTAGACTGGACAGGGCTGTGTGGCTAGACTGATGTGTGGCTAGACTAGACAGGGATGTGTGGCTAGACTGGACAGGGCTGTGTGGCTAGACTAGACAGAACTGTGTGGCTAGACTAGACAGGGCTGTGTGACTAGACTTGACAGGGCTGTGTGGCTAGACTGGACAGGGCTGTGTGGCTAGATTGGACAGGGTTGTGTGGCTAGACTGGACAGGGCTGTGTGGCTAGACTGGACAGGGCTGTTTGGATAGACTAGACAGGGCTGTGTGGCTAGACTGATGTGTGGCTAGACTAGACAGGGCAGTGTGGCTAGACTGGACATGGCTGTGTGGCTAGACTGATGTGTGGCTAGACTGGACAGGACTGTGTGGCTAGACTGGACAGGACTGTGTGGCTAGACTGGACAGGGCTGTGGCTAGACTGGACAGGGCTGTGTGGCTAGACTGGACAGGGCTGTGTGGCTAGACTGGACAAGGCTGTGTGGCTAGACTGGACAGGGCTGTGTGGCTAGACTGGACAGGGCTGTGTGGCTAGACTGGACATGACTGTGTGGCTAGACTAGACAGTGCAGTGTGGCAGGTTGCTGGACAGCTGACGGTACTCGTCATAGAAGAGTATCCCCTCCCCACTCCTCCACAGCCCTCCCCGTTTTCCTTTCACGCCCTTGAACTTTGACACGAAGTGACTGTCAGAGCCGGGAGATAAAAAATGAAGACGACAGTGGAGTGATTCCCCCTGGATGCCTAATTTCCTCAGAAGCTGAAGTGACCCGATGTGGAAATAAAAGTCCATTGTTTTGGGTCCCCGGGCCTCGCTGCCCCACCCAGGGGACACATAATTGTATTTGGGCATGCCACACACGGGCCTTGTTAGCGACAGGAGCAGTGGCCAGCAAATCACAGGAGAAAATGGAAATTTTGTGCCAGCGGTTTTTTAAGGTGGGGGTGGGGGGGGGGGGGGGTGAGGGTAGGCCCGGGTAGGGTGAGGGTGTGAGTTTTTATTTTTAATGAGAGAATTCTGGTTTTGTCATGCAAAAATGAGGAATGCGACTTTGATGCAGGCCTGCCCTTACAATCAATACTTAATTTGATAGCGCGGCCCTTTAATGAAGCCTTATCAAAGAAATAAATTTGCCAAGGGCTTCGTCCTCAATTATCGCCAGCCCTGATTTGTAATTAAAGGGCTTTAGGAGTCATCGGCGCGAGCTACGCTGAGTCAGGTCCTTCGTGTGTTGACTGATGGCCGGCTAGCTGGTTGACTGATGACCTAGCTAGCTGGTTGATGGCCCGGCTAGCTGGTTGATGGTTGACTGATGGCCTAGCTAGCTGGTTGATGGTTGACTGATGGCCGGCTAGCTGGTTGATGGTTGACTGATGGCCTAGCTAGCTGGTTGATGGTTGACTGATGGCCTAGCTAGCTGGTTGATGGTTGACTGATGGCCTAGCTAGCTGGTTGATGGTTGACTGATGGCCGGCTAGCTGGTTGATGGTTGACTGATGGCCTAGCTAGCTGGTTGATGGTTGACTTATGGCCTAGCTAGCTGGTTGATGGTTGACTGATGGCCTAGCTAGCTGGTTGATGGTTGACTGATGGCCGGCTAGCTGGTTGATGGTTGACTGATGGCCTAGCTAGCTGGTTGATGGTTGACTGATGGCCTAGCTAGCTGGTTGATGGTTGACTGATGGCCTAGCTAGCTGGTTGATGGTTGACTGATGGCCTAGCTAGCTGGTTGATGGTTGAATGATGGCCTAGCTAGCTGGTTGATGGTTGACTGATGGCCCAGCTAGCTGGTTGATGGTTGACTGATGGCCTAGCTAGCTGGTTGATGGTTGACTGATGGCCTAGCTAGCTGGTTGATGGTTGACTGCAAGCTATCTTGTATATTAGACCAACCATTCCGGTTGAATTGTTAAAAGTTTTTTAATTACGTGATTTAAAACGCGCTAACAATAAATTTTAGCCTACTGTATATAGATGATAAAATAAAAAAGAAATATTTCAAAAAGTAACTTTACCCAAAAACGAAAAAAAAAATGTCTACGAATTTTATCAAAGACGCTATTTAGACTAGAAGTGAAGAGGTTATAACAAAATAGATGTTAAAGTAAAAAGAAATATGCCTAAAAACTTTGCCCAAAAATAAATACATAATAATAAAAGAAAATATGTCCAAAAATTCACCCAAAAGTAGAGAAATAAAAGTAAAAAAGTCTTTCCAAAACTTTACCCAAAAGTAGGGAAATAAAAGGAAAAAAAAATCTGGCCAAAACTTCACCCAAAAGTAGAGAAATAAAAGGAAAAAAAATCTGTCCAAAACTTTACCCAAAAGTCTGGCACGAACCAGGCCTTCTCTCTGTCTTGTCCTGGTCAGCACCACCTTGTCCGGCAAGTAGCTCAGCTCATCGGTCAAGGTCGTTTGTAGCTCATCTGTGGGGTCACAATACAGACGTATATACCAGGTGTAACAATACAGGCGTATACCAGGTGTAACAATACAAATGAAGACATGAACTGACCAAGTGAAGACATGAACTGACCAAGTGAAGACATGGACTGACCAAGTGAAGACATGAACTGACCAAGTGAAGACATGAACTGACCAAGTGAAGACATGGACTGACCAAGTGAAGACATGAACTGACCAAGTGAAGACATGAACTGACCAAGTGAAGACATGAGCTGACCAAGTGAAGACATGAACTGACCAATGACCAAGTGAAGACATGAACTGACCAAGTGAAGACATGAACTGACCAAGTGAAGACATGAACTGACCAAGTGAAGACATGAACTGACCAAGTGAAGACATGAACTGACCAAGTGAAGACGAAACTGACCAAGTGAAGACATGGACTGACCAAGTTAAGACATGAACTGACAAAGTGAAGACATGAACTGACCAAGTGAAGACATGAACTGACCAAGTGAAGACATGAACTGACCAATGACCAAGTGAAGACATGAACTGGCCAAGTGAAGACATGAACTGACCAAGTGAAGACATGAACTGACCAAGTGAAGACATGAACTGACCAATGACCAAGTGAAGACATGAACTGACCAAGTGAAGACATGAACTGACCAAGTGAAGACATGAACTGACCAAGTGAAGACATGAACTGACCAAGTGAAGACATGAACTGACCAAGTGAAGACATGAACTGACCAAGTGAAGACATGAACTGACCAAGTGAAGACATGAACTGACCAAGTGAAGAAATGAACTGACCAAGTGAAGACATGAACTGACCAAGTGAAGACATGAACTGACCAAGTGAAGACGAAACTGACCAAGTGAAGACATGGACTGACCAAGTTAAGACATGAACTGACCAAGTGAAGACATGAACTGACCAAGTGAAGACGAAACTGACCAAGTAAAGACATGAACTGACCAATGACCAAGTGAAGACATGAACTGACCAAGTGAAGACATGAACTGACCAAGTGAAGACATGAACTGACCAAGTGAAGACGAAACTGACCAAGTGAAGACATGGACTGACCAAGTTA